TGCTGTGCGGTACACTAGCTCTTCCCACATGAAATACACGGCTCCGAACACACTCATTACTCTCGCGGTGTGCCCCCCAGTTATGAGCTAAACCGCGAAAATAGCGAGGATCAAGCTTCAATAGCCACTTCTTGTCTGTCGACCTGTTGGGCGAAGTTTCACAACCATACATTAAGATCGAACAGACGACTGGGTTGTAAACTCTGCCTTTCAGAGCGAGGGTGATGTCGATCGGATGCCACAGGTATCGGAGATTGACAAAAGCACCTTTGCGGTTTGTGATCTCATCTTCTATTCCAATGACCTTGATACAGCTGCTCAGCTACTTGAATGACTCAACGACTTCTAGCTGATCCCCACCAAGCGGCAGCGCAGGAGTAAGTCCTTGCCAAGCTTAGCGATATATTTCGCACTTCGATGGTGCAAAGCATAGCCCGAAACAACTCACAGCCAATGCTAATTTTCCAAAAGCTGCTTGGTATGTTTGAAACATACCACAAAGTGGTAATGTCGTCAGCGTACTCAAACTTCATAATTCGTTCACCTGGGAACAACTCCATCCGTTGCAGGTCATATTCAGTGAGCGCAATTTCTAGGACTTTGTCGATGGAAAGTTAACAAGGAAGGGTAACAGCGGGCATCCTTGTCTCACACCGCTGAAGAAGCTGAAGGGCGGCGACATTTTACCCTAAGCCCTCACTCTAGTAACTGGGTGAGGAAAACGCTATGATAATGTTTACATATTTTTCGGGCACACCTTTCTTCAGCAGACAGTCCCAAAGGGCACACAGATCAACAGAATCGAAGGCAACTTTGATGCCGAGGAACACAACTACGGTGACTCGCCGATAAATCTGGCGGTGCAGCGCAACAGATGAATCTTCAGGACGGTACACGTGCCAGGAAGAGAAAGGAAGACAGCAGCAATACACAAGAACATCCTGCCAGCTCTTCGTTGCTACGCGGCATCCACCGGTCGCGCATGGACCGGGTCCACCGCGAGGTCCTTTGCGCCTACGCGGATCTGAACCGGTGACCTAGGGTGACAGAACCACCGTGTAATCTTCTCGGCTATGGACCGGCTCCCGGGGAAAACCAGATTTGGAAGCACAAACTCTAATTCCAGCGGAAACACCATAGACGGTGTCTCGTACAACTGATATGAATCACATGCAATCTTTTGGAGACGTCCTATTCCAACAGTCAGTATGAAGCAAAACACCGACCAAAGTGAATGAGTTGAGAAGGCAAATGATTACACGCAACTGTTGATCTGATGACCTATCTGTAAACCTTGGCTCCAAACGCCATTCATTCGATGTTATTCGGGGTCGTTTCTACGTCTCAAGTCATCTACGGACACTTGACCAATATTGCAGCACCAGAGAGAGCAAAACTCGGCCAGGGACAGTGGTCAGGCGATAGATAGGAGGTTCGAAGGGAATGACCTACTATCATGTGGGTAGGTAGACCGTTGCATTATTGCGGACTGATTTCAATCCCCACCCACATCTACTCGGATGCCTTGATTAGTGCCTGGGTGCGTTTCCCGACGCGTAGTTACAGACACGTGAAGAGGTGCACTGTGGACTGTGATACTGGACGGCGTTAGCGACCTACTCCACATTGGTACGTGGTCACCGGACTCTGTCAGCGAATGCCTATGACAGAGCTTCGACAGCTTTGACAGCCATGATTGCAGGAAATGGACGAACGGTTATATGTTAACTTGCCTAGCAATTAGTATTTAGTGTTTCCATAAAGACAACCCTATCCACGTTCGTTGAGGCAACTTTGCTTGAGGCAAATCAACTCATTCGAATCGACGAAGCATCATAGGTACGGCTTCGCCCCCATCACCAGTTAGTGCAATGGTGTGCATAAATGGTGGGTGGCATCCAATCCCGATTTTGTCGCTGCTGTGGTCATGATCTGTACAAGACGCTGTGACACATAAGCAGAAGATGAGTCATCGGCAGTGTAGTGTTTCCATCCCTATCCACAAGCGCCACAAATCACAGGCTGAGTAAGACGGAGGCTTGAAAACATGAGCCGCAAGGGTTTGTTGACCGATTCGCTTCATTTAAACACACACACACACACACACGCCCACTCTATGCATAGTTGTGCGATCTTTACAATCATAAGGTAACCTGGGAACGGCTGACGTGCTATGCGCTATTGTGGCATGGTGCAAACATAGATCGATACTCGTTAACCGCTCACTCGGAAAATGCCCAGTCGACCCACACATCTTGCTTTGCCCAGCTTGCCCCCGTAGCATGTTTGCTGTTGTGTCCACGTTTACCTCCTATTCGTCCTGAGGCGAATAGACGTATAACATGGATATAACCGGTCGTTTCAAGACGAAGAAAACACACTCCTTTTCAGTGTTGGCCACTCAAAGCGCCGCGTTTAAACCCCACTTGTGCGGCGCATCCCCTTTATGCCTCCCTACGGTACACTCGTGTCCCGTCGCACCAGCTGTACTATGATTCGTTCGGTGTACGTGAGTCGACGGGGCTCAGAATGGCAACGGTCTTATTGGAGAGTCAATTTTGGATTACACGTCTTCTGCTCGGATTGCGACGCACAATCTCAGGGTGGACCGCGATGCACATTGAAGTGAAGCTTTAGTCAATGCGACCACTAGGACCGTAGCCAAAGCAGATGGAACTTGGGTGTTCCCTGCCAAAAACACTGCACAGCCACCACGCTTTTTGATGTCATTTCCTCTCATCAGGTGGAGATAGCAGGCCTCGAACCCGCGACCACTGGAATAGTAGCGGAAACCTCTACCGCTTTGGCTACTGGGTCATGGTGGGCAACGCTTGTAACAACGGTGGATGACTAATTGGAGATTCGATTTTCGAGTACACGTAGTCTGATTGGATTGCGGTGCACAATCTCGATGTGGACCGCGATTCACATTGGTGAACGTTTGCTCACTGCGATCACTAGGACCGTAGCCGAAGCAGATGGAAATTGAGTATTGCCAAACCGAAAACATTGCAAAACCACTACGCGTTTGATGTCATTTCCTCTCATCAAGTGATAACAGGCCTCGAACCCGCGACCATTGGAATAGTAGCGAAACCTCTACCGCTTTGGCTACGGGGTCCCGGCGGACAAAGCTTATCACAACGCTTCGAGGCCTGCTATATCAACCCGGTGAGATGAACTGACATCGAAAAGCATCCCAGATGTGCGGTTTTTTCGGGAGTGAAACATCCAATTTCCATCAGCAATAGCCTTGTTGTTCCACTTTGACGACAGCGCCGATGACCACCGTATTCTCAGCACGCTTGCTAGTGCCGTAAATGATAGAGGCTGAATAAAACACGGGACCACAGCCAACCGGAAATGAATTAATAGATCGGTTGGATAAGAGAACGAAATTGTCAACACGCAGCACGATTAAATGAATAATAGTTGATGCTGTACTCAGTCCTTCAGGGACAAGCGTATATTCGACAAAGACAGCTAAGCGTAAATTACAGCATGTTTGGCATGCCAAACTTGACATAAATTATAAGTTTATGTCCAGAAGTAACGACCCTTCTGAGTCGATGAGATTCCTCCTTTGCATCAGTTAAACAAACGATGTATCACTCACGCGCATCTCGACCAATCCGAGTCCAATAAACGTATCCGTCACGTTCGCCTCCCATTGGCTGTTTGGTCTGCTCGGTTGGTACATCTACTCACTCTGATCTGATACTACCATCACATCCTCCCAGTTTTCGTGTTCTTGCGCCTCCATATTGCTATCCACCCCGTACAACTTGCCACACTGCGTCGTCTTCGCTGTACATACGGCCGTGATTTCCTTCCTGCACGCCATTTAGCACTCCACTCCCAATCTAATCTTGTTTCCGGTGTCGTCACAAGTGCACTCGATTTCATTTGAACGTTTTCCCTCCAACTTTTATTTCTTATGACCTGGCACCGACCCTCGCAGTCACAATGGGACCTAGCCAAGCGGAAATGAGTTAGTGGATCGCATGAATAATGGAGCGAAGTGTTAAAATACAACCCGATTTAATAAAAGATGGTAACCATATTTTTGCTGTAAGTGGGAAGTTATGATTTCATTGGTTTCATCCTTGCTCTCTGATTGGTCAAGCGCAACATGGAAGTGCACGTGTTTTCGGCATTCCAAATGGATGGATAATTTACATGTTAGCCGTTTCCTCGTCTCAGGAGCAACGGCTTATGAGCAGTATAATAGCAAGTGCTTGGCAAGTGCAGTAAGATGGTTAGCGTGAAAAGCACCAGGCCAAAACATTGTATCGGTAGAAGAACGCGTCAGATACTTGACCCAACAGGAGGCTTGCATTAGCGCATGCGTGAATATTCCTGTCTGAAGTTTAGGAGCATTATAACACCGTCAACTATTTATTCAATACTAATGGCGTTATCGTTTGGTCATGGGCTGTGGCACGTAGTGTCAATGTGTCAGGATATCGTCAAGGGATTTTTGAATCCTGGTAGGGTGAAGGGCATTAATTACATGCGCTGGAGGGAGTTACGGGGCTATGACACATGGAGCGGGAAAACGTTTCGTCGAAATTTCAGTCGGCTTTATTGCGTGGACAAGTTTAACTGATGACCTCTCAAACAGTATATCTAACACATCGTGGCGAGTTGACGAGACTTTTGTCGCGATTGTACCACTGAGGTGACGTGATTAAACTGGAGGATGTCAGCCATGCGGCGGTACACGATCGGCCCAACAGCATATGCACTATCAAAGGTCTCGTCACCTGGGGATTATTTGAATTGTGTCTGTGTGTGGATTTGCTTATTAGAGTACGCATTCCTACCAGTGTTGTTTTGGTGACATGAACTAGAAATATCAAGCTGCTTAGAACCGCACTTCTTCCATCTATACAGAAAGCTACAAACATTCATCAAATTGACCGATGGCTGCAGTGTTAAAAGCCAGTAGAGCATCTACCACATGTTGCTCTTTGTCTGCTGCTCTCTTCCCATCCTAGGCTGGACACAATGTTGTTGTGGTAGAGCGCCGAAACAAACCTGGGGGTCATTTGCGTTATGGGATACCGACCATGAAGCTCAACCGCGCAGTGCTGGATCGACGGATCGATTTGATGAAATCCAATGGGGTACTCTTTGTAGTTAACACCCGCGTCGGTCCCGCTGACAACAACGACTTCAGTCGACCAGAAATCAATGCGAGCTGTGCAGAACTCGTCGAAGAATGGCCTGCACATCGACTGCTTCAGGATTTCGACGCTGTGGTCTTGTGTCTTGGAGCAACTTGGCCACGTGATCTTCCCATCCCGGGTGAGTTGCTTTGGGAGTTTTTCGCATTTACTGAAATCTATGTCTCAAATCAGTGCTCGTAACCTGTGCTATTTTCACATGTGTTTTGTGCACTGTCACTAAAGTTTTCGCAATTGTTCAGAGCGCAAGTTAGCTTTTTATGAAACCTTGTTCCCCTTCTAAGCTGGATGTTTGTTTTTGTACTGCACTCCAGTAGATTGCACAAACTGGATGACCGATTTTCATATAAGTGTTGCTCCACTTGGGTGTCCACATGTTTGGCTCGCCACAGCCAGTGCCGCGCCCACCAAAACAGTCTGTCGTTTGGTGCACACAATACACTCACTCTCTTCAAAGGTTCCCCTTAGTCAAACCTCTTCACTGAGTTCGACCTTGGCACAGTAGCGCCGGCCGGCGTAGGTTGTTGTATCGGTCATGGATATGAAGCCTTGTCGAATCTTGCTGAGGAGATAGCTCCGGGAATCCATTTTGGTTCTAGAGTTGACCACATCAGCAACGTAGAATTGGTGCAAGGACTGGAACAAAAGGCAATGTCGATCGTGGGGCACACGCTTTAGATACGCTACATGGACCATACTGTTGTTAACCTCAAGTGCTCCATAATTCTAGAAACACGCCACTTAATCAACGATATTTTCTCTGGCATCCAATTCAGGAAATAGAAGGAGCGCGATAACCAGTTGCCATCCGTGAACGTGCTCGTGATAAGACATGCTTCTGGGTCCCTGGAAACAACGGTCTGTCGGAAAGCGACGTCCATCGACCAGATTTTGATCTATTACGATAGTTATCCGGCTGTTTACAAGCACAGTTGTGTAAGAACACTCTTTAAACGGGCCCAAACAAAGTGTAGCATGTCGCAACTGAAGAAGGCGGAGGAGGACCAGCTATGTAAGATGTTTCAGCGGCATTCCTAACCCATAAGTTTTATTCTACGCTGCCTGATGTAGAGGAAACAACCAAATTTCGCACCCACGAGTGCAACAGAAAGGAAAACGATCATCCTACCTTACAGCAATGGGATTTTTGAAATGACAGTGATGCTTCTAATGACTCACAGGATAAATGTTGAAAATGATACAGCGGAGCAAACTTGTCAAGCTAAGGGACCAACTGAGTAAGGAAGAAACCTCGGGTGTGATTTACATAATTTCCTGCAAGAATCACAAATATATTCACCAGTACTACGTAGGGTAGGCAGGGACAAAATTACGCATCACACTTCACGAACACAGTCTGGCCATCCGTCGTCATGATGAGCAACCGGCAGTGTCTGTATATATGGATACCAGGGACAACTATATATATATATATATATATATATATATATATATATATATATATATATATGGTTCGATTTGAAAAACGTTAGAATAGTTGGAAGAGCAAGGAGACGAGAGGTTGGTGACTTCATGCAGAACTGGCATTGGAGCCAGAACGCTATCAATAAGCACCTGTAGCAAGAGTGTGTCTACGAAGCTCTGCAGATTAAGTCGGCAATAGGTCTCGGACCGACAGAAAGAAGAGGCGATCACCTGATTGACCCACGTGAGTCAGTCAGCAGCCGACGTTCATGGCAAAATGTGATCTATAGCCATTCGGGTATAGCACTGGCACACGGGGCTCTGCCATTCAGACATTGAAGGCCGCACTGATGTTGCCTAGCTTGGCAACGTAACGTCTGCAACTAAAATGTCCAGCTCGGATAACAAACAGCCCTCTCATCCATATCCCGGGCTACAGGCTTTTTCAATTAGTTACACACGCTTTTGGTCCAATTATATTAAGCATTTTAATCTTCGCTCTAGATGTTTCAATCACATTGGCTTCAATTGTTGTGTCAGCAACGATCGGATCAGGTTGGTTTGGACGATGGGTTTAAGCGGGCCTTAGTAAATGAGCGTTACACGTTCTCTAGGCACATGCGATCGTATTTCCTACCGCTTGTAAAAAGAATCGGTCAGCACCCTAACGCAGGACGTATGCAGACACTAAACGGGCCAGGTTGGATTCATGCATCGTGAGGGATTTTAAGTTAAGTTTTGCACTTCTTCGTGATCTGGTCGTTATGAAGTGTCTGTAAAATTGATGAATATACGGTTGTGAAACCATGACCATTATATCAGCCGACATTAAGAGGCTAGTTACGTTTGAGCACCGCTGCCTTGGCACTTTGGCATAAATCTGGCGGGAACATCGTGTCTGCAATGAGCATGTTCGACGGTTTGCTTATAACACAGGAAGAAGAAGCGAACCGCTCAGCACCGTTCTTTCACGTACCAGGCTCCGGTGGCTAGGCCACGTGCGCATTCCAACCCACAGACTACCGAGAAGAGGGTTGTTTGCGCACCGGGGATGTAGATGGAAGAAGAGGAGGGGCGGCCAAGGGATGACTTGCTCAAGCGGAATGAGGGCCCTTAATACGAAGTTGGCCTCGGTTGAAGTCTCTCGGCGCCCTGGTTGCGGACCGACGAATGATGTACACGTTTGGCTGCATACACTTTTTGACATGGCTAGGAGCCGAACTCAGTGGCGTTCGTGCTGTGAGTTTCTTGGTCGCTATCCCTTCCGCTTAGCCTCCCCTCCGACCACGATCTCATTTATTAGGCACAATATAACTCTTTTTGCGGCACCATAGCCGGCTGTTGGCTCTCCGGAACGATGTCCAACCGTTGCTATAGACCGAGTCGGCGTGCCTTTGTTTCATGCTTTGTGTTCTTTTCTTTGGATTACGTCAAAATAGCTGCGTTATTTTCCACCTGCAGCAGTGTATAATGAATGCAAAAATGAATGATCGTTATGCTTTTAACTTGCGCACCGAAATTCAGAGTGCTAGATACTTGATGCCCATCACGTATAGTATTGTTGCGATAGATGCATTTCCCGGCAAGGTAGATAACATTTCTCAAATGATTCCATCCTTAACGCATTAACTTGCATCCTTAGCTCAAAAACTATACAGTTAGTCACGAAATATGCATCCACGACGCAGTGAGTCTTCAAGCTCTATCAGCCAAAAGCATTCAGACGATATGCTAGTATGGTTGTTTTACATAGACCCACCTGGGGCATATAGCCATTGCGCTTTGGGGGGGGGGGAAGCTGGTGGTGGCAAAATATGGCAGCACCCAAGCTACAGCGGCACATGTGTGGGTCTACTAATCAAAAATCGAGGCCCTAACATTATTCAAAGTTGCTGTGTGGATTCACGGCGCTGGCAAGGGAAGACCTGACCGTGACGGCCAACCACTGTCCTCTGCAAGGGCAATAACCTGCACGGCAGTGAAGGATGGGTCGGGCTATATCGCAGTTAGGTTTCAATTCGTAATGGTCGGCTGTCGTCCCCCATGGCTCAGTGGCATAAGCTGCTGGCTAGTTGGCGTTAGCCTCTAGCGGTCATGGGTTCGATCCCCAGTAGGAGACCGATGGATGCGCACCACTGACGATCCCCAATAGGGCGAAACGTGCGTCTGGTGCTTTTCCGGATTGGTGGCTTACCTATGCGGCTTGGAATCTAATTACGACGAACCAACTCGAACCACACATGTGGGGTCAAATTGAAATCATCGGCGGTTGATGTCTTGATACACGAACCTCAGCCATCCGCTCGTCTAGGTGCGCGCCAGCATTGGACAAAATCGGGGGTGGAAGCAGGTGGTTGTTCACGAACTGAGCGAACTAACAGAAACCCAAGTGGAGTCAATGTCCACGCACAAGTCGGCAACCCCGCTCGGTGGCTGCAGGGCGCGTCAGCTTGCCAGGGAGAACGTGATTAGTCAGCTGCGTGTGACGGCCACTCGCACGGGCAAGAAAGCACGTTCGACTATTCTGCCAAATTTGGGAATCAGGTGAGATTTGCTTGCCTGGCGAATTAAAGCCGGCGTCCAGGGCTTGAACGGGATCAAACATGGAGGCGACTGATTCTTCCAAATATGGTTAACCAGTAAAACGGAGCGCATTCACATTGGCTGAAGGCAAGATGCCGAAGATTGGGTGACCATGCTCTCCCAAATTAGTATGTATGGTTCATTAATCACTAGAGACGACCTGTTCTGTAGGATATACACTGTTTACCGAGCATTGAGATTTTGTTTTCTTCCGTTGGATGGGCGCGTGGTTGAGCGGACAGACGGTCGCAGTCTCACAGGCGAAGCAGTGCAGCGTTACAACACGGACAATGATGACTTGGTATTCAACATGTGACCTTCCCCTCGTGAGCCGGTCAGTAGCCAAGAAGTAACGAGCTTGTCTCGTAGTCTTGCGGTGTGGGTTCGAGCCGCGTAGGGACAGGGCGACACTAGAAGTATCCTTAGCCCACGTTTGACCTGTGGCGTCTGCGCGGCAGCAAAGCGTCATATTGCGTACCAGTGTACTACTGATGCCTTCCCCCACATGAGCTCCATCGGTACTAAAGGGAGCCACGTGATTCTCTGCTTTCAGCGGTAGGCTAGCTGGTACTTGCAGCCTTATCAATCTGTTCTTTCGAAAATTGTCCATTGTCACTACAGACTTGAGTTGGAAGCGCACACAGCTCAAGTGCATAAGCTGCCATACTTCTTATCCGAGTTACTGACAGTACCGTTTCCTGATTCACTGGTGGTTTTGAATAGATAACTGGGGTACACGTTGCTAAAGCACTTCCAAACGACTTGTTCGCTTACGAGATTGGTTTTTAATTGGATTGCTATAATTTAGAAACGTTAGTTCACGCTGCTCGCGTCGGAACGAGGAAGAATGCGCACGCACCAGGCTAACGTGAAGGCGGCTTTACTGAAGGTACATAAGGAAGGTAAAGACTGAAATAACACTGCATCAATGTTACAGGTAAACGTGAACACCTGTCGCAGCTGGATTAGAGAATTATACTTTAATGAGCCCAAAAGAAATCGTGGCGTGGCGTGTCGAAGATCTCTGTTAAAGTCCAACGTTGATTGGCTGGTTGAATGGGCGGAATCGGAGCCTACCGTGACCATTGAAACTTTGTGGTTACGACTGAAGGGGGATTTCAATGTAAAGGTGAGCGTCAGTACCATCACTCGCTACCTAGACGGTCGGATCATGA